GGTTCCAAAATTGATTGTGTGTACTGGATGTTGATGATTTGAGGAGTAGGGTAGTGGAGGAAGCTGATGGTTCACGATATTCTATTCGTCCTGGTTTCACCAAAATGTATTATGATCGTAGAGAGTTATATTGGTAACATGGACTAAAAAGATACATAGAAGAGTTTGTAGCTAGGTGTTCTAATTGCCAAAAAGTTAAAGTCGAGCATCTAAATCCTAGTGGTCTAATCAAGAAATAGGTGTTCCTACTTGGAAGTGGGAAAAAATTAATATGGACTTGGTTCTTGGGTTTCCTCAAACCCGTAGGTAAAATTACCCAATTTGGGTGATAGTTTATGAATTAACAAAATTCTCTAACTTTATCCCCGTCATGTCTACTTATACGATGAAGTATTATGCAAGGGTCTATATTGATATATTGTAAGTCTTAATGGGATCCGTTTGTCCATCATATCGGATAGAGTTGCTAAATCTACCCCTCGTTTTATGAATTCTTTTGAAAAATGGTTGGGCATAGAAGTAAAGATTAGCACCGCTTTTCATCCCTAAACGGATGATCAATCAATGCGCACTATTGAAACCTATAGGATATGTTAAGAGGCTGTGTGATAGACTTCAACAAGAATTGTGAAAATAACTTGTCGGTGATTGAGTTATCCTATAATAATAGCTACCATTCAAGTATTTCCATGACTTTATATGAAGCACTTTATGGTAAGAGATGTAACTATGTGGTTGGGTGGTTTGTGGTTGGTGTGTCTTCACTACGGGTTATAAGTGATAGGTTGAAGATGGCCTATAGTCGGAAAATCTCATATGCCGATAATATAAGAAGAGATCTTGAATTTGAAGTAGTTGGTAAAGTGAATTTGAATATTTCACCTATGAAATTGGTTATGAGATTTGGTAAAAGGGGAAGTTAATTCCACGATATGTGGGTCCTATGAAGTTCTGCAAAGGTTCAAAAAGGTTGATACGAATTGAGGTTACCTAGAGGACTAGGTTCTGTTCATCCGGCATTCCATGTTTCCATGCTTAAGAAGTTCATTGAAGATACTGTGTATATTCTTCTTATTGAAGGGTTAGGTGTGGATGAGAGACTTTCCTATGAAAAGGATCCAATGGAAATTCTAGATCGCCAAGTATAGAAGTTAAGAAACAAAGAGATGGCCTACCTTAAAGTCCTTTGGAAAAATCCACCTAGTTGAGGGAGAAAGGAGGTCGAGATCGAAATGAAGTCCCATTATCCTCAAATTTTTCCTAACAAAGGTTAATAAATACTAACAATAATAAAAATAATGAGTAAATTTTTTTGACTTGTTTTGCTAAATTAGGCATAATTATGGATAAAGGGTTCATGTTAAAATAAGGTTCATGTGAAAATACTCTTTTGCTTAATTTGCACTTATTTGTGTATTGTTGTCTTTATCAAATGGTATTTAGCATTTTGATGTGTTTTGAAAGGATTTTTGGCATAAGTAACGCTTGATGTTTTGTTGATCTCATGTTGTTATTGAGAAGGTAGTTCCTCACCCTATGATATTTAGATCTTATATACAGTAAATTGTGATTTGAGTGGTGGTTATGTGTAAATGACATTGTTATGTTAATTTTGTTTGTGACTCATGTTATTATATGTTGTTCTTGGTTGGGCTTTTAGTCTTAAGTCATTCTCTCCCTATGAAAAAATTTAACGAGGGTTAGGTCATTATAGAGACTTGCATGCTGAAAAAAAACATAGAACAATGTTTTAAGACCTAAAGTAATGAATATAAATCATTAGGAGGTTTTAGAGTCAAAACATCAAGGAACGTCCACCACGTCTGGTGAATTGTGAAATAGAGGTTAGTGTGACTTGGCATGTTTAAAGAGATTTTAAGAGTCAAAAATCAATGAAATGTGGTAGAAATGTGTTAAAAATGTGTTAGAGTGTGCTTCGGGTCGAAAAATTTGGGTATGACTCCCAAACAACAACCTTGAGGGTCCTTGTAGAGGACCCTTCAATTTGATCAAAAGTTGTTAATTGATACTGGCCAAACGACGGACCAATCGGCGATCCATCGATGGTCTACAGACCATCAATGGTGTTCGTTGGTCCAACATTAGACATTTTTAAAAAGTTTCCAAAAATCAAGTCTCTGAACTTATCGACGGTTTTGCAACATGGGTCGTCGACTGACCTATGAACCGCAGCTCAGGTATGGTTCTGGATTGTCCGATTCCAAATGATTCATTTGATTAGTTAGATTATTAGTTGATTAATTAAGATTTAGGGGGTGTCTAATTATGTTAATTAGGGGACTATATAAGGACCTAGCCCTCAATAAACTTACCTGACACACTTCAATTCCCAAACTCAAAATCCTCTTCCTTCTCTTTACTTTCTCTCTCTATTCACCAAGACTCCATAAATATCAATTCAAGGTAACTAAGGCTCCAATATTCAAATTTCTGTCTGTAAATATCTAATAATATCTAAGGCATGGAATCTCTTCACGTTTGGGACTCCTTTCCCCAAAGGGTTCTTCAAATTTTATTTTCAAAAGTTGATAAAAACATGGGTTTCATTCTTCATAAAAAATTATTCTATGAAATTGTATTGTTCTTGGTTTCTTTTTACTTTTCTGTACATAATATGATTGATTATTAATTAATTAGGGTAGTTCTTCATGTTAGACCTAGTTCTATAGAAGAGATCAAGAATTGACCGTATTTCTTTAACCCTTGGTTATGAATTATGTTGAATTGAATAGTGATGAAGCAATTAACTTAGTTCTTGTGTTAAATACTATTATATTATGTTATTAATTTTATTAATGAATGGATATGGTTTGTCAATGTTGATACAATAGAAGAAGGCTTGTGAAGGTACATTGGTAAGACATAATCTTGAATTCTTACTTCAATTGTGATGTCTTGTACTTGATGATAATGTTGAATTGAAGTGTTGGTTGTTATTATATTCGATAGGTGATGGCATGATGAATGTAATTTAAATGTATTTATTATATGGATTGTGAGATTACGATTAAGGTATGATGATCTAAGGTTGATTTTGAATCCCTTATGTTTCTTACTACTCACATGATGATAATAATGTGTTCATCTCACATATATAAGGGTTACATTAAACGGAAGTTATAATGAAATTCCAAATGAGATAATTATTATGATATAAAAACGGTAAGCTCCTATAATCTATACTAAGCTATGATGATTAATAAAGGCTTAAAGATATTTCAAAGAGGGACTTTAGCTTTGAACAAGTTATAAGACTCGTACATTCCCAATGTGGGAAGGTAGATTCACAATGATTCTCAAGAGATATAGATTACAATGAAATTGTGCTTAAAAAAGGTCTCAAGTAGGTCTCATAGTTCTTCAACTATGTTGCCCCATTGGAATACTAGCTAGTGGATCAACCTAGAATACTATGTTCATGTTATGGTACTACCTTGGCAACTAGACCACCTTCTTTTGATGTAGGGTTTCATGACACCAGATTCCACATTTAGTTCGTATGTTCTATGTCGGTTAAGGCAATTTTTTCCGAAAGTAAAATAAAGTAATAAAGTGAACACTAACTAGGGTGACTTAAGGGGTTTGACTTAGTCTAGGTAGGGGTATGGAATGTTACCTATACATTGCACTAGTTGGCCTTGAGGGAAGTTCTAGGAAGTTGTTCTTATTTTATTATAATGTAAATGAAATGCATGTGTTGAATTTACATATTGATGCTTATATATGATGTTAGTTTCCCTTATGAACATGTTATTGGTCTATATTTCTAAATATGATGATGACTACTCATGATGCTATGCTATATGAAGTTAGATATTGTTTGTGATCCTTTGTTGGGTTTACTTGGTTGTGTGGGGTGATGGAACTCTTCTCAATCATTGCACTTTAAATAGGTTTTGAGTGATGGTCTTGCATATGTTGTAATGTTATGAACTCTTATACATGCTTTGTTGTGATGACATTATGTTGGATTTGTTTTGGTTATGTTCTTTAATATGCTACTACACATGTTGACTTGATTTGACTTTATTATGTTGGTCTTGGATTGTATATGGTCTTGTCTTGACGAATATATGTTCATTGGCTCATATGTGTTATTGATTGTGTATAAAGGCTTTTCAAAGTAAATTAGCATGGTTTTGAACAAATGTCCCTTTAAGCATGATTTAAATATTTTATGTGCATATGTTTCCATACTTAGTACAATTGGTGTACTAACCCATATCTATATTTTTCTACAAATATGTAGGTTCCGTCTATTGAGTCCCTAGGAGGCTGATTGAAGAAGACATTGACACTTTTCTCCAGGTATGAATAGGTCCTCATAATCGAGGATGTCAGTCTATGCACTAGTTTTGAAGTTGTATTGTCATAAAGATTGTTCATTCCTTTATCATTTGAATATTGATGTAAGCCTATGATGGCGTATTGACTTTGTATTGTCTATGTCAAACATTTCTATTCCTTTTAGATTGTTCAATATCAGATGATGAACTAGACTAATTCGTATGTATCTTACGTCGTCCAAATGAGAAACCTATGTTGTTTTATATGAGAAGAGTCTAAGTAAACTCCCTATGTAATATGCGAGAGGTCTATGTAAACCTCACTATACAGATATGTATGAAAAGTTTTAATTTTCCCCACTTTCTAACCTATAAAATGTACTAATGAATGCTAAGAGGCTAACCTTAGTCCTTTCAAAGGACGACGATGCCAGTTATGTCTAGGGAGTGGTCCCCGGTCATGACAAATTTAATATACATAAGCGTGCGAAGTAATAGTAAATTTACCGAATTTATAAAATATTTAGTCACAAATTAGATACAAATATAAGGATAATTCTACAAATATTTGTACGTTAGTGAATTGAATGTTTAAAAACTGCGTCCAATGTGTGTCTCTTACCCATTTTTGAAATATTTAGTAGAAGAAATATCAAATAAAGGGACAAAATATTATTGCAGTGTAGGGTTTACTGTTGGTGGACAATTAGGTCCCTCCATAGCTGAAGTTCTCGACTCAAATTTATGCTAACCAAATTTGTTTTTTTAGAAACATGAGGCCTTCTGTTTTCAGATTCCATCAAAATATTCAATCCCTATTCTTCCATAGAAACTCATAACTGAAATCCTTGGAAGGCTTCCTGTGAAATCCTTCTTGAACATTAGGTCGGTTTTGAAATCTTTTCTTTTGATAATCTCTAGCCATAAACTTATCAAAAATCAATTTATTGTATCTATTGATATAAAATATTCGACATACCACAACTTTGTGTTGTCCCAAACTCAGGTACCTACCTGCTAATGGATATGGATTCGTTTTCACAAACTGTTTTGTTACTTCATTACTTAATTACTCTGTTGTGAATGAGGAATATAACTTGGATTATAACTCCCGCGAAAATGTTTTTGTTGTCGATTTAGTTAATGGATTGATTTTTATGCTTTTGTTTCACTGACATGTTTATATAGAATCTGTCAATTAGGAAGATAAAGAAATTTTCTAATCCTATACCTACACCTGCGAGGCTTGAATATCCTCGCAAAGATGGTTTTGGATATGACAAATTTCAGGATGATTATAGAGTAGTCTGTATTTTCAAATAGATAAGTTCAGATCAAGTACTTGAGGCTAGCTTATATAGTTGGAACACAGATTCTTGGAAAAGCATTAACAGTTGCCTGAGTGAGGGGCTATCAAATGTTTCAGGTAAGTTTGTGAACATGGAAACTCTATTGGGCGACTACTACTGGTGATCTTAACGCATAGGAGGACGGGTACATTATTTCTTTTGATTTTGTTAATGAGAAATGGGGAATGGTGGAAAAGCCCTGCTATGCAGGAGGTACAATTCAGTCAGAGGGAGTGTTTGGTAGTGATCTTGTTGTGTTCTCTAATTATCCGGGAAGTCATGAAGATACTTTTCTTATCAAATACCCTAATTATGTTGAGGACGGTTTATTTACTACTATTTATTCTCCACCACTATGCATTTTACACAAAGGTGAAATATTTATTGTTGCTAGAACAACTTTCATGATATACAACCTAGAGGATGAATCGATCAAGTAGATATCGGTTCCTAAGTTACATACCAATACTGTAGCAAACATGTTCACTGAAAGCCAGTTTGTTTAATTTTACAGAACGAACCAAGTATACATCAAGAATGAAGGCTGAAGGAGCTCAAACGAATGACAATGCTTTAGCTGATGACATGTAAGTAATATATATATATATGTATATATATCACTTTATTTTGGATGCACTAGTAGCATGATCTTTTTTCCAAGTATAGAGTAAAAATACATAATATTCTGAATGTACGAAAAAAGGAACATGCTTATTTTTAATGTGTTTTTTTCCTTATAATATAGAAAGGGGAGAGGCATATAAGCCACCAGCAGAAAATTAGAACGTCAAAGGAAATAGGTAAATTGTAATTGTACATGTACTGTCTGTTGTGACCATAGCTTCGAAACACAACAGGCAGGTGCAAAAAACATGACCTTAGATGTAAATCCCATATGCAAATTTTAAAAAATAGATTGATGGTTTGACTTATAACTTAATTGAAAAGAAGATTCCTAATGAATCTAGTGATCGATTATCAGTGAATTCTTTAGTAGTAAAACATAACATTCGCCATATTTTCATGAATGTTAGGATGTGGCTTTTATTAACTTACTAGTTCTCGAACACTTGAAACACACGTGTATTTCATACTATTTTAAACTATACGAACACACAGTCAACTATGAACCTGTGGGCTCCAAGCATAGTCCATGTCCAAATTTCAAAGTTCAAATATGCAAAGACATTCAGAGATCAACTTGTATCTTAATTTGAATATTATTGCAACAGAAGCTTTTCATAAATACATATTATACTAAAAAAAGTGAATATGTTGCTAGCTTAGCAATAATACAAAAAGTGTTGGCCAATATTTGTAGCTAAATCAATTATATTGGAATAGATTTATCTGAAGTAAGACTCTTTTTTGAGGAGAATTCTATCCAAAGAAGGCAAATGGAATAATTTAACAAACCCACCTTAAGATACACTTTATAGAGTATTTAACGAATGTTAAAAGATTGATCAGAATAAATATTATTGAAAAGATTAAACTATGTACAACCAATAAAACAAAGAAATTTTACATCACATATTACTAAAAGCATGAATAAAGAAGTTGAAAGTTAAATTACAATTTTATCCTTTCTATAAATTAAATTGTTATAAAATACTTAAATATTTGATTGTATAAATTAATTAAATGTTAATGACTTTTAGACTTCGTAAGATTAATTTCTAATTAAATTTCTAATCTATTAATAATTATCCTCTATAATCTATATGTACGTAATAATTACAATTTTTTTACAAATATCTTTACCTAAATTTCTTTTCTTTTCCTCTTCTTATAACTTTTTCCTTAACCCCTCTCATTAATAATATAATTGATGTGGATAAAGTATTATCCATTATGATAAATAACGAAATTTAATAATTTAAAGGGAGCAAATCTACAAAATGGAGACACACATTGATAATGTCCTCTTGATTATTATTAAAGAATGACTCTATCTTCACAAATTTTAATTCATTAATGTTTAATTACATGATAAGAACTTTACTTGTTCTTTCTACATGGTTTGCAAACTTTAATTTTTTTGTCAAATTCTTCATTTATTTATTATTATTTTCGAATTACTTATCTATCTTTTATACTCTTTATATTCATAACTCTCATCGTTTCATATTCATAACCTCCAAATATTTAAACTAAAACGTTAAAATATCTTTTGATATTCCTTCTATTCTATTTATATAAATTCAACTTCTTTATCTCATGAAACTCCTACCAAGATTATTAGGCTATTATTTTATTCTATAGTAAAAACAGATGATAAAGACTCTTGAATTTTGATAGTATATTAAAGGAGTCGATAAAAATACAGAGAGTTATGTGCTAATTTATTACTTATTTTTTTCATCTATATACATCAATCATATAAGATTAATGTCTATATTGTATTTTTCATAAATATTCTATTTATTTTTGTCTTTTTTCACTCCGTTAGACTTCTTAATTTAGTTTTCTATGAATCTTTTATTGTCGTAAGTCTTTGAATTTTGTAATTGTTACATTTTATTATTAATTACAATTTACAGATATATATTTCCATGAGATTTTAGTCATTCTAACGTATCTATAAAATTCACATGAAACACAAGTGCAAAGCACGTCCTCAATAACTAGTATTAAAATATGAATGAAAATGTAAAAAGTATAAAGATGAAAGAAAAAAAAATAATAAGTGAAATAAATTTTAGAGTTCCTACACACAAGAATTGTAGGAATAGTAAATTAAAGTTTTTCTTAGAAAAGTTAAATTTATACAACAAAATTATGGAAACATGAAAAGACACATGGAAAATTGAAATGTCAAATACGATTAAAATAAATATAAAAAAGATAGATATGAAATTTAACTTTAAAAGATACATGCATCTACTTTAATTTTTTGTTTTTAAGGAATAATTAGTCATTTGTATTTTTTTAAAATTTGTGTGAGAAATTTAAAAGGTCAAGATTTTGAAATACGAAGATTATATATATATATGAAAATTATAAAAAATGTTAATTTAGTAGAGGGGAAAAATGGTAATTCAATTTTTCACTTTGGAGCTTCCCACTTATAGTAATATATGATATATTATTTGTTTTTGCTGGGTTTCCTTGTTTGCATTTAAACTGTTTTTACTTTCCATGTGTAATACAATGATGATTATTTTTTAAACGTGATGTACTTTTGCAATTTCAAGAGGCGAAAAGCTTCTGTTAGACAACAGTTAATCCATCGTCTGCGGACTACACGAATCAAGAGGATCCTTTCTCCGAATATCTGTTGTATGTCGTATCTTGAGATTGTAGTGACAAAGGATTGAACAAACTTCTCCTTCCTTTCATATTTGTTGTATGCTTTACCATGAGGTTTTCGTGATAAATTCGTTTATATATATGATAATGTTTGTGCTTGATTTGTTCATCTTGTAATGAAATTGATAGCACATATGGAAAGTGCTTATTCTTGCTAGATATCTCATCGCATATTATAAATCATCTAATAAGACAAATACAAACATTTAATAAGAAATCAACAGACAATGTAATATCGCTAAGATCATTAGCGTGAGCTTGTAACTCAAGTGAGAGCAAAAAGGTGAGTGGGACAAACCAAATCTTAAGCCCTTGGCACAAATAGTGCGTTTGTTTGGGTTTATAATAATAAGCGGTTCTTTGTAATTGTATGAAGTATTATTATTCAAACAGTCTAAAATAATTAATAATAGTACTTTGATATAGCAGTAAGTAGTGGGAGTGGATCAGGTAACTCGTCCTTCATTGATTGGCTTAACAGAGCAATACTCTCACACTCCCAAGTAACAACTAGATATTTCAGGATTTTATCAATTTGGACCATCAACTTTTTATTTGACCAAAAATTGGACTTCCAAATTCATTGAAATCATGTAGGTTTCTCATGGACTGAAACAGTTTTAGATCAAAGTCCACCCTTATGTACTTGTTACGACCCAAATCCGGGCCACGACTTGCACCCACACTTACCCTCCTATGTGAGCGAACCAACCAATCTAAACCTTAACATTTCAATGTAATATCAACATAAGTAATGCGGAAGACCTAACTCATTAATAAAAATCAATAACTATTATTATCCCCAAAATCTGGAAGTCATCACCACAAGAACATCTATGATCAAATTACTAAACTAAGAGTATTCTAATAAGCTAAAAATACATAAAAGCTAGTCCATGCCGGGACTTCAAGGCATCAAGACATGAGGAAGAAAATCCAGTTCAAGCTAGAAGCATTAGCTCACCCTGAAGATCATGTGTGACGAACACTGGCTAGAATTACTGTTGAGTTGAAGACGACGGCACGTTTGCTGCACTCCACAAATAACAAAGAAGAAAACATAAAAGTAGGGGGTCAGTATAAACACGGGTACTGAGTAGATATCATCGGCCAACTCAAAATAGAAAACAGTATATATTAAGCAATATCATAAAATCAACTAATATCCTTAGAATGCAGCATTTTACAGTTACCATAACCCTTGGTTACAACACCAAGCACATCAATGAGGAATCACGCCTCCTCATCATACTCATTTGGGAATTCGGTTCATTAGATTGAATATATTAACATCTTTCAAGATTCATTATCTTAATTCCCCTCGTGTCGGTACGTGACACTCCGCTACTCAATATACTATCCTGGTGTCGGAACGTGACACTCCGATCCTCATTCTATCCTGGTGTCGGAACGTGACACCCGATCCATATTATATCCTGGTACCGAAACGTGGCACCCGATCCATATACTATCCTGGTGTCGGAACGTGACACTCCGATCCTCATATACTATCCTGGTACCGGAACATGGCACCCAATCCATATTCTATCCTGGTGTCGGAACGTGACACTCCGATCCTCATATACTATCCTGGTATCGGAACGTGGCACCCGATCCATATTCTATCCTTGTACCGGAACGTGGCACCCGATCCATATTCTATCCTGGTACCGGAACGTGGCACCCGATCCCCTAATCTCACTACTTTCGTTCATCAAGCCTTCTTTTATACTAAGGCATCATCATTAACAAAGTAGATTAGGTTATCTTTCAAGATTTAGGATTCAATAGCTTCATCATGCTTATTTTATCACAATCATATAATCACATTCATGCAAGCATACAATTAAGCATATAGAAGGGCTTACAATACTACCCATACATATCATTCTCTATTAAGAGTTTACTACGAATAGCATAAAAACCATAACCTACCTCCACCGAAGATTAGTGATCAAGCAACAAAATTTTCTCCAAAGCTTTCTGTTTCCCCTTCTCGATCGACCCTCTCTCTCTCTTTTTGTTTTTTCTATTTTCTTTATTCAAACCCTCTTTCTTTTACCCTAATTAGCATATAATTAAGAATAAAAGATGGCAATAATAAGCCACTAATTAGCTTAAGGTTACCTCTTTTAACCCCCAAGTAATTTGACTTATTAACATTAACCCACTAACTTTATAATTAAAGAAGAAATAGTCAAATACGTCCCTTAAAACGAAAAAAGAAATTCGATCCAGACTGGGATTACGCAGCCTGCGACGGCCCGTCGCTCCT